ATTAGGTATGTGAAACAACACACATCTAAAAACTCTTCCCATACCAAATAAAGGAGTGGAAATTTTTCTGAAATGGAAATTTTTGCAGGAAATGCTCTTTGGTGGAAGATTTTCCACACACACTGCTAGTCAACATACCTACCATCACCCATATACCACCTTCCCATACACTGTTGATTTCTTCTCCATTTCCCTCTCTATCAGAGGCAAAAAGTTTCAACTGTTCCATGTAACTCAGACTGCAACAGAAAGAATAATAAAAATGGCACATAATCTTCACACACAAAAATATATTGCTTCAAAACAACGGAAGAACATAACTGATGCCCATCAAGAAGACAACATTTAGCCAGCAAACTTTGATGGCAAAACTAGAAGAAAGAGGCATACATGTTGAAGATAAGCAAATGAAATGTGAACTTTAAAGCCAATCTTCATAATGCTATGAAAATACATAAATCTCTGCATGCCAGTGAATTTTTTTTATTTTTGATAGAATAATAAGGCATAACACCAGCCATTCAAATGCAAGAAAATTCTGATTGTCTGAATCATTCCAATGCAAGAAAAAACAAACAGGGGACCCATAGGCTTTCTGAAGTATTAATAGCAATCCAGGAGGTCTTATTTTTACTCTGACCATGCACTGTGAAGAAAGGGGTTCCTTCCAATACCATTTTCCCCACTCTGAAGGGGGTGCCCTAAAACTGTGTAGACATTAATACAATCAGTGCAGTATTTGCCTCAGTAGACAAATAGTTTGGGGATATAATGGGTATTTCAACCAGCAAAAATAGAATCTTCACTGTGCCATAGTCACAATCCACTATCCCCTCCTCTGCTCCAACTGTTACTGCTGTTTTAGCAAAAACATGATATAAGGCAAGGTAGTACTACTACTAGATACTAAAAAAAATCACAAACAAATGCTAGCATTTGGCTTCATCAGGCTGGGCACCACTTATCTATGGACTGTGCAAAAAGAAAAGAGTTCTAAAAATCGTGGCTTATATAAGTTATTTTCAAAATGGGGGCTGGAAAGTCAAGCTAGGAGTGCTGGCTTTAAATCCCACCTCTGCTAATGTTGATGGAGTTGTCCTAAACTCACCAGAAAGAAGGCTGCCGGCCACTCTTCATTCCCACCCATCCCCCACTGCCTTCTATTGAAACAAAAGTTCATTTTCTTTGGCTGGTAACTCAGGTGACACAGAAATGCTACAAACCTCTTATCAGAGAAGTCGGGATAAAATTCAGTTTGCAGTCTTGGAGACATCAGCTTCCACAATTGGTCACACTGTTATTTGACTAATGAAATTAAGGGTTATTTGTACAACAAAAGAAAAGCAGACCCAATTCCACTTGTTTAATTTTACATCATCACCATCATAACTTAAATGGTATTTGTGTTAACCACATTACGGCTGCCCAATTTTATTCTCTGGATCTTTTGGCAGGCCATAGGGCTATTTAGGTCAAGCGCTGTCATTTACGTGTTACAACAGGTAAGTAGCCTAAAGCCACATGGTCGCTTTTTAAATGCTTTTAGTGTAACCCTTTATGTCATAATTGCTCAGCTTTGCCCACTGCAGCCTACATAAAACAGATGCAAAAACCAAATGCTCAGCAAGTCTCAAAGGAAAGCCAAATACTGAAATCCCTGATCCCTAAAAAGGGGAGCATTGCCACCAACTTCATTAAACACACCACTGCAGGCTACATCACTTAAATATGTCATTTATTTCCACTCATCTTCCTATAAATACAAAAGCAGGTTACAAATGTTAAAAACAAAGGGAGCAGATAATCTGAGTGAACTACAAGCTGGCAAAACTGTATTTAAAATGAAGCAAAGCCCTGCAAAACTTTGAAGTGTTTTTTTCCTCAGTGAATGCTTCTTCTAAAGCAGGAGTGTGGGAGGGGTTTCATACAAATTTGGGCTGTGCTTGATAGCCAGCTAAGTACCAAGGACATGAACAAATGATGCCATTGGTCAAGTTTCAGGAAAAAAAAAACTCTGGGGCCTCCCTGAAGCAGTAAAAACAAAGAGTCTTGTGACAACTTAAAATCTAACAAAACAGTCTTTACATGCTGCGTTTCTCCCAGGCCTGGGGGACAGGTAGCATATAAATAAATAAACGAACAGATATTTGCTTATTTCATTCTTGCAGATGACAATGAAATGTTTCACATTTTCTCCCTGCAAAGTGAAATAAAAAGATCTCACATTTTGTGCACACACAACAACTCTTGCATTTTGCTAATTCTTTTTCTCATTTTCCTGTTCAAGGTAGAGAAAATGAAAAATGCAGAGTCTGTCTCTTACTAAACACCCCATCTGTTTCCCTCATATATTATGACTTTCTGCTGGGCAACCAGCACTGATAAATCCCCGCCCCATTTAAGATAAGAACAAAAGCCCTGCCCCCCCACCCCATTAAGTACAGCAGCACTCAGGCATGGAGGAGGAAGCGGCAGCAAGTGGCAGCAGTGAGGTAAATGCACCCACCACAGGTCACCAAGGAGGATGAAGAGCAGGCAGAATAGCTGATGGCTGAGAAGAGATATGGGTGCTATGTACCTTCACAGCTTCCTTGCTTCACAACAATATTTCAATGCTGCCTGGCTCTGACAATAACCTCAGAGCCCAGTCAGATGGAATACGTGGCTGAAAATAAAGGTCTGGTGCCACACGAAGCAGGTAGGCTGTGAAGGCAGTACAAAGCAAGTGCACTCCAATTCCAGCACACTTCTTCCTTCAGTAACACCAGGTTAGGGATGCTGCACCCCCGTGTAATCCGGGCATAACTCTTATGCCCCCAAAAAGGTAACTAGAAAGCATAAAGAGTTGATTGGCACAGAGAGAAAGACAGAGATATGCACAGAAAAAGAACAGTTCTCTCTAGTGGGGCTCTCTTCCATAGTGTCGAGAATCCTTTCCACACAATACTGTCTGTAATGAGCCTTAAAGATCCCTTATGAACTGCTGATCTAGAGACTGAATTAGAGATGTTGTGTTTGGGGGCAAGTTGACCACTTTGATGCCTTCACTGTTGAACTCATAAGGCCTTGGGTGGCCAGGGTCATAGTATTTATTGAATACTCGTTTATTGCATATTTATTTACACATTGGAATATTTGTTGTTTATTTATTTATTTATACACTTGGGGAAAAGTGTATAACCAAAACTGTGCTGTTCAGACCCATGCAATTTGAGGGGGAAGCGTACTCTTCACCTCCAGTGGCAGACAAGTGAGTAGTGAATTAGCTGCAACTACTCCTAGCACCACACCACCTGAGATGCCCATGCAGGCAGGGCTGCCATAAGATCCATGGTCACCATAACATTTGGAGTGGCTGCTGACAATTGACAACTGCTGTAAATGTGTCACATGCTGTAACCTCACCCATGGTCCACAAGTCCAGCCAAGGGAAGACAAGTGAAGATTTCAAGAGGGCTTTAACAATTATACTGATTGTTTTTGCATCTGGTAAACAAAATGTAACAAGATGAATATATCCAAGACGTCTGCCTCTGTTCTAACCACAAACCACACCCTAGGTTACTTTCTGAACTGCAGGGGAATCAGGACCAACAGATTCCACAATGTTATCCTCAGGTACAGTACTTTCAAATGGGCACACTATACATGAAGCAACAAAACAAAGGCTGTTTTAAGAGTACAATGCAAGAGTTGTGCTTGATCAGGCTAGAAGTTGGTCTGATCCAATTTATCTAATTACACTTCAGTGGGGGGGCACTTGTATCACTCCGCACTTCTGAGCAACCCAACAAACAAGCTGAAACACACCTTTTTACTTCAAGGCCTTCCAGATGTTATTGGCTTGCACAACCCCCATCATCGCTGGTTAGGGCAGCTGAGCTTTGGGGGAGTTGTAGTCTCATAACATCTGGAAGGCTCCAAGATGTCCACCCGGGTCTTGAACAGCCCTACTTCACCACAGAGGAAAAGGGAGGTCGACCTAAAGTTCTACTTGATAACGAGGCGTTGTTTGATCCTATTAACACCGGTCTGACCCTCGCCAGGGGCCAGGCCCTGTGATTTTTGCAAGGCGATTGATTTCTCCTCGCTCCAAGGACTTCCAGGCTGCCATCTCGGCGTCCAGCAGCCGCCGGAAGGGAGATGACGAGCCACGCCTCGACGCGCAATCTGATGAGCAGGAAAGGCACCGCTGTGGAGCCCCCTTCGCTCTTGTACACACACAAGGCCGGCAGCAGCAGCAGCAGCATGGCCAGATTGCGCGCGTGAACTGCATCCACAGGCGGCGTCCCCGACGGCCACATCCGCCTTTCTAACATTTGCCGAGAAAACCAGGCAGTGCCTGCCTCCCGGATGCAACAAGCCTCGAGTGAGGAGCAGAAGGAGGAAGCCACCGGGGCCAGGAAAACACAAGGTGGGCGTGGGTGGACGAGCCAAGCGACCGCCCTACGTCGGTGGGGTTGCCAGTTCGCACACATAAACACACCCCGGAGGTGCCGCGCGAAGCCCCGCGGCGCCGGGAGCTCCCTGGAGCTCCTCTGGAAGGCGCGCAGGCCCCCCCCTCCGCCAGCCACGCTGCCGCGGGAGTTCCCCGGGCGGCCTCAACTCCCCTTCGGCGTCAACTCGGGGCGCGTGCCCTTCCCCAGCCGGGGCCAGGAGGGAGAGCGCAGGGCGGAGCCCCGACCGACCGCCTTCCCTCTTCGAAACACACTTTTCGGTGGGGCTCAAAGGTGGTGGCGGCGGCGGCGGCTCCCCGGGAGCGGCAATAAGGGGAGGGGAGCCAGGGGTACCGCCCCCCCAGCCCCGAACTCAGCGCGGACAAGCGCCGTTGCACCGCCCGCCAGGGCGACCCACCCTCGGCTGAAGTCACGCCGAGGCAGCCGCGGACGCAAGGCCCGAGAAGGGGGGGCGGCCGCGGCCAACAATGCCCGTGTCTCTCGGGGGCATTGCTTCACACACCCCCGCCAGCCGGTGGGAACCAGCGCGCCCGCGTTGCTTACCTTGTTGGCTGCCGGGGTCCATTTCTGCAGCCATCTCCTTCAGGGCTCCTTCCTGGCGGTCCCGCCTTCGGGTTGTGCGGAGAAAGAAAGTCGCGCGGGGGGGGGGAGAGAGAGTGAGAAAGAAGCGCTGAGGGACCGTCCTCCGCAGCGCAACCAGTTCGCCGCCCGCCCCGTCCTACCTCCGCCCCTTCAGGCGCCTGCTTGCTTCTTTTCTTCCTACAAACACGCACACACTCACTCACTCTTTTTTCTTTCTTTCTTTTTTTTAATTTTCGCTCAGCCGCACTCGGCCGCCCGCGCTTGATATAGGGCGGGTTCCCGGGAGCTTCCACGTCAGCCAGCGAAGGAGGCGGGGAGCCACCTGACCACACGCTGACCCGGGGGCGGCGAGGCGAGGTGGGCCCCAGGGGCGGCGAGGTGCCGGGGGTCGGAGCCTTCGTCCAGGGCTAGGTGTTCTGGGGAGGGGGGCAGCAGGTGCACAGGAGGGACAAGGCCGGCCTTGACTTATCCTTTTGGTTTGCTGAGAAGTTGAAGACCACACTCTTCTTCAGTGGACCCTTGACTTACAGACGGCTTGATTTACAGACTTTTTGAGTTACAGACTTCTCTGGCGGCAAAATTTAGGTTTGACTTGCAGCCTGAGAATTGACTTACAGACCAGAAAAAACCCAAAATGGAACAAAAACGGCCTGTTACGGGATTAATCGGTTTTCAATGCACTGTAGGTCAATAGAGACTTGACCTACAGACTTTTTGACTTGAGAACCGCCTTCCAATACGGATTAAGTTCTCACGTCAAGACCCCACTGTAAGTGGTTCTTGGGCCCTCTGGCAACCCCAGCGAAAAGCGCCGACTGGAATGGTGCGATTCAGCCCCCGAACGCTTGCCTAATACTATATTCCTTGAAACGTGCAGAGTGCCTTCAGCACTTAATAATAATAATAATAAAAAACTCAGTCAAACGGGTTGAGAGTTCGACTTCCTGCTGTGCATCCTAGAAGAGGAAGTATGTGTGGCCTTGGATAAGTCGCACTGTCCCAGAATGCCATCAGAAGAAAGGGAATGGTAAACCACTTCTGAGTATTCTCTCTAGAAAACCTTGAGAAGGGTCACCATAACTCAGATTTGACTTGACAACATCCACTTAATATTAGTTACCGTCCACATGCCTGGGATTAGGAGGGAGGCCTCCAAGATTGTATTAAAATCCAACATATGATTTCTTAGAAACCACTTCCTGAGCATTAGTTAAAATTAATAGCAATGCTAGAGATTCATCTAGAAAATTGCCAGGAATCAATCAATATGCTATAGTGAGAGAGAGATCTTGCTTTTTAGGGTTTTCTTTATGGTTTGCTTAATACACAGTAAAAAAAATGATAGTAAAAAAAATTACATATATTTTTCTTGAACTGAACTATTCTGTCATTTCACAACAGTTTCCATTTTTATTCATCTGGGCAACTTCATTAGGACAGCTTTAGACTGCACTTATAGTTAAGAGTGAACACTAAGTTCACCATGTATCATGGTGCTGCTACCTGTTGCTCGTGCAAATACATGTCTCAAGTGCATATGTTCTCTTTTAATAGCAATGATAATATTAAGCAATATTGCAACAAAGTTTTGTGGGACTCTAAAGGCTGACTATTTTTATTATAACTAAAGTTTTGTGGACCAGATATTTTTCATTAGAGGCAGTTGACAATGTGGCCTCTCAGTCTGTGAAATCTTGTGCCAAAATAAAATGTGCTATTTGTCAAAGAACCCCAGTGTGATTCCCAACCATGGGTCCCCAGTTCTTGGACTATAACTTCCAGAAATCCTTGCCAGCACAGCAAGTGGTGAAGGCTTCTAGGAGTTTTAATCCAAGAACATCTGGAGACCCAAGGTTGAGAACCACTGAGATAGAGGATAGAGCAATGTAATACTCAAGAGACCTGGTTTCAATTCCTAGGCTCTGCCGGGGAAGCTTATTGGGGGAATGGAACGTGAAACCACTTCTTAAATACCTCACTTGCCTTGAAAATCCTATTAAGGTTTCTGTTTGTCAGTTCTGACTTGACAGCATATAACAAAGGTTTCTGTCTGTCAGTTCTGACTTGACAGCATATAACAATAAGTCCTTAAACAAGGCATAAGATTCTGGTGGTTTTGCTGTGACAGATCAGCACTGCTACATCTTTAAAAACAGTTGTAAAGTATAGAAATACATAGTGAGAAAGGCACATTTTGAACATGGTTGATACTATCATAAGTAGCACCATAAGTTGTTGTTGTTTAGTTGTTAAGTTGTGTCCGACTCTTCGTGACCCCGTGGACCAGAGCATGCCAGGCCCTCCTGTCTTCCACTGCCTCCCGGAGTTGGGTCAAATTCATTCTGGTAGCTTTAGTGACACTGTCCAGCCATCTCGTCCTCTGTCATTCCCTTCTCCTCTTGCCTTCACACTTTCCCAACATCAGGGTCTTTTCCAGGGAATCTTCTCTTCTCATGAGATGACCAAAGTATTGGAGCCTCAGCTTCAGGATCTGTCCTTCCAGTGAGCACTCTGGGTTGATTTCCTTCAGCACCATAAGTAAGGAGTCCCAAAGGCACTCTTAATTAGCTTTGTAGGATCACCAATTTGAGGCTCAGGATAGGTGTGATGTGGAGGAGCTGTGCTGCTGTGCCCTACAAAGATTTGTATACACCTGCACAAAGCTGGGAGCCACATGGAAGAATTATTGCATGCACAATCTGCACTTGAGCATTCTCAGCTGCAGATCCTCCTTGTCGTGGAGTCAAGCAGAATACCTGGGCTGTGAGCCTTGCTAATAACCAAGCCCCTCTATCACTCAAGGGTGCATTTTACAGGCAGGTAGCCTTTGACCAAAAGAATAAAAATAATTCATTTAATCTGTTCTTTAAACAGTCACTTAATATTCACATGGTTATTTGTTTTACTTCATGCACAGCTATTTAATACATTTACTTCATCATCGTCATCTCAGAACTGCAGAGCTGGAAGGGATCCTCTGGATCATTGAGTCCAGCCCCTGTCACAGAGGCGCAGTGGGGAACCAGCCTCCCTGCTTAACAGCCAGATCCCTAAACCACTGAGTTAACAAGCAGTTCTGGGAAGAGACACCATTATATCACAAATGCATGTTGCAGTTCGATGTCATACTATTCCAACATTTAATCTCTTTTTAACAGAATACTGTACCAGAAATTCCTGTCTGTAACGTGGCAGGGCCAGGAAGGGCCTAATGGAATGCTGTGTGTCCCAGTTGCTCATGCACTTGGCAGTCTTGCAACTTTGTAGTGGTACCAGGTAGTATGATCTGTACAGGATTGCAAAAGATAGCAGTATAACAGGGCCTGCAGCTCCCAGGCTTTCTCCTCTGAAAGATTTACAGCAAACTCTCTCTTATATGCTGCTGTGCTTTCACTGTAGCTGTGACAGATTTCTTGCCATGATGCTTTTATTATTTTATTTGCCACAACATATAGGACTGATAGTGTAGGGACTTGGCCTATCAACGGATGACAACCAGTTTTGTTATAAATGCTTTGCTTTTTGCCATCCTACCTCACAGCAGCCAGCACACTAGGAAGACATTACCACCACAACTTGGTGCCCCCTCCGCTACCCAAAGTGCTCACCTCCAAATGCAGCCCTGAGTTGGGAATACCACAATAAACCCTATATAGCAAATATATCAGCATACGGCCATGCAATTTGTGGGTGGTATAGGTCAAATTACTTGAAATAACTTTTAGTGAAATTGAAAGAGGAAAGCACCAAAACAGGACTGCGGCTGAATGTGAAGAAGACTAAAATGATCACAGAACTAGACAACTTCAATGCTGACAATGAGGAAATAATTAGAGGTTTTCTACACCTTAGTTCAGTCATCAATCCAAATAGAGACTGCAACCAAGGAATCAGAAGACTGAGACTCAGAAGGGCAGCAGTAGAAAAGTTTAAGGCTGTGTCACTGGAGGTAAAGACCAACATCGTCCACACTGTCATATTTCAAATCATTATGTATGGGTTTGAACACTGGACAGTAAAGAAGACTGACAGAAAATGTATTTGTTCAGGGTGTGTTGCTAGAGAAGATCTTTGTGGATACCTGGGGCTGCGTGAAAGACAAGTGGGCCCTAGATCAAATCAAGTCTAAACTGTCTCTGGAGTCAAAAATGTTGAAACTGGCTGACCTACTTTGGACATGTTACGAGAAGACAAGATTCTCTGGAAGATACAATAATGCTGGGAAAGGTTGAGGCCTTCAGGGAAAAAGGAAGATCAAATACGAGATGAATTGACTTTTAGTGGCCTTTCTTGACCCACAGAATCTGTACTGTTAAATTTCTTTCTTCTGTATTTCTTTAAACCTTCACTTTATAGTCAAGGGACTGAAGTCTTAGTTTCACAAAGAGGAATTTTAGAGTTTAGCCATAACTTTAAAATGTGAATTTCCCCCACCACCTCAATCTGTATGCCTTCATTGTAATCTAGAAACAATCTCAATTCTTCCTTGTCTTTCTTCCAAATGAAAAGGCAAGTTTCACCATTTTTTCCAGTCCATGTTTCCACTTTTATGTTAACCTCTTGCATAAGTTAGCAACCTGACTTTGCACAGGTCAGAATACCCTTTGATACATCAAAGCTTGCAAGTGAATTTGTGTGGCTGTAAAAGCTGCATCCATCAGGTTTGGCCCATCAGAGTTAAACCATCCTGCTGTGATCCTTAAATATATTCATTTCATGGTTTGCCCCTGCAGTCACCAGAATGAAGAGTATGTACACTCCAGGCTCTTTAGAGGAAACTAGCTATCTCTTATGGTGGATCGTACCAGTGAGGACTGATACGGCAACCAAACTGAACAGTAGGCAAGGCTGAACAATCCTGGCTTTGTACCCTTTGTCATTATTTGTAATGACATGGCAGTAAAACCAAATAACATTTAACATTAGCTGGCAAACAGTTCGGAAGGGCTTCTAGCAAAGGTGGTCGACCAGACGAGATGGGCGGGATATAAATCAATCAAATAAATAAATAAATAAGTGCCCCACGTGTCCTGTTAGGCCAGCTTCTGCTGGCAGCGTCTCAGTAGGGGAAAGACACAGCCTTACAACTCCGCCCCTTTAATTAGTCTAACCTGGCTTCAAAGTATATTGACTGCACACCTTGACTGCTGCCGTTTTCATGTCCCCTTGTTTCTAAGCACCTTATGGTTTGGGCTCACTAATATTCATTTATAGCCATTGCCACACATTTATAGCAATGAAACAGTGTAATTCTATGCATGCCTATTTGGAAGTAAGCCTTAATGGCATTAAATGAAACTTTTTCTTCAATGTGTCTAGCACTGGAAGCTTAGTTC